GTAATCTTGAGACATCGACTAAATGGAAGATAACAAAGCAAAAGGAATTTCCCGAGGGGATTTTTTAGCTTTTGCAAAGCTGGACTGTTTAGCCTCCAAATTCAGGCATCAATCAAGTCATTAGAATTGCCAATGTGAATATTTAGACAGTTTTCTGTACCATTGACCAAACCAAGGCAAAGAGTTACCAAAAAATGGGCATTCTAAAGGATTATTTGAAAAGTGAGTAATTAGCATAAGTTGTGGCCAGGAGGGCCTTTGTGCAACTGCGGGTTGTGCACCAGTTACGCCCTTTCCTGGACAAACAGTCACTACTCACAGTGATTCATGCCCTAGTCACTTCCCATCTTGATTATTGCAATGTGCTCTACATGGGGCTGCCCTTGAAGAACATCTGGAAGCTCCAGTTGGTGCAAAATGCAGCGGCCCACATGGTTTTGTGCAGAACCCGGTGTGCATAAGTTTCATCTCTCCTGCGGGAGCTGCATTGGTTGCCGATTTGCTTACAGGTGCAATTCAAGATGCTGTTTGTCACCTTTAAAGCCCTTCATGGCTTGGGACCAGGTTATCTGAGGGAATCTCTCTTGCCGGTCATATCTACCCAACCCATGAGAGCAGGGAGGCAGGAAATGCTGTGGGTCCTATCCCTGAGGGAGATACACCTGATGGGACCCAGAAGAAGGGCTTCTCTGTGGTGGCTCCCTCTCTCTGGAACATCATTTCCCCCAGAGATTAGAATGGCCCCCTCTCTAATAGTCTTCCGGAAGGCACTAAAGACCTGGTTCTGCCAGCGGGCCTGGGGAACCCAGAACGGGATGGAGCCCATCAAATGGCTCGTGAGATCTGCTGTTGTTGGGGCATGGGGTTGATTTTTTATTTTTCCAGATTTTGCTCTATTGTACTTTATTATTTGATTCTTTTTGTTATTTTCTTTAAATTTTATTTTAAATATGGTTTCACATTCTGTAAACCACCTCAAGTCTCCATGGGCAAATAGGCGGCAATATAAATTCAATAAATAAATAAATAAATGAGTACAATTATAATAATTAGAAATTTAAAGTACTAATCTTAAAAAAATATTTTATAAAAAGAATCAACTTCAACTTTTGATCCAAGAAAGAAAAATGGAAGGAGACTGTCTATGTACATCAGCTTGACTTTCTGAAGGAAAGGAAGCATACAAATTTAATAAATTAATTTCCTCTTACTTGAACTGGAGTTTTAACCATTGTGTCAGTTCCACCATCAGGAAGGGCCAACTTTCCTCTATTCTTCCCTGTGAGGGAGATAAAATTTAAACTGCATAATTCATAATGTCGGAGGTGGTGTTCTATAGAAGAGAAGTCATATAGAAGATGAGGCTGCTGAGATCTCTCTATGGAATGGGAGAGCCTTGTATTACCTCTGGTTGTGTCTTGATTTAGATCATCCTGAGAGATCCTCCTGAAAAACATTTCTGGAGATGAACTTGATGGATACCTCCTTCCCTCAGGATCTCTGATCTCCACCATGAAGGACTTGAAAAAATAGGCAGGAAACAAGAATGAATGGACAATACACATCAAAAAGTGGATACTTCTTCTGTGAACACCCCTCCAAAGTCCCAGAAGTCTATCAGTGAGGTTGGAAAGTAGGAAAGGAATGACTATCGCAAATAAACAGAACAATGTCTGACAAGAATTAGAAATATTTCCATGTATACTGAATGCCAAAGAATTTTGGTTGGCAAGGGTTAAGAATTCAAACACAGATTTAGACTATTAGATTTAATCAATTCTAAGCTCCCAAATAAAGGTCTCTCACCTGCCAGTTAATCCTCTCCTTCTCCACCTGGCTCAGGAGGAAGCCTTCCACCAGGGCCACCGCCTGGGAGCTGGTCTCTGCTCCACACTCCCGCACCCAGCTCTCCATCTGCAGGGGCAGAAGCGCCAGGAACTGCTCCAAAACAACCAGGTCCAGCATCTGTGCTTTTGTGTACTTTTCTGATCTCAACCATCGACTACAAAAGGAATGGAGTCGGCTGCAAAGTCCTCGGGGACCTTCATTCTCCTGGTGTTGGAAGCCCCTGAACTTCCAGGGTTGAACTTCTGAAAGGGTGGTTTTCTCCTTCAGGATCTTCTGCCCAGTTCTTGTCCAGATCTCCCCATAGCTCCCACACTGGACATCAGAAGGGCCTTTTCCAATTTCCTTACTTGCTAAAGATTGGCTTTTCATTCTTTCTCTGTCCTGCAACTCCAAATAAGTTTTAGGAAATGTTTTGGATCTCCAAACATCTCCAATCCAGTGTTCTGTCCAATTTTTTGCCTCCAAGAGAAGTAGTACAAATGGTTTCCAATTTCTGTATGTGAGATTAAATGGAAAGTGGTGGATTTAACAGCTGACGAACACTCATTTCTAATGGAAAGATACATTTTTCTAAGCTTTATAGTGCTTTCTAAGTGGTTTTACAGAGTCAGCATATTGTCCCAACAATCTGGGCTCTCATTTTATTGACCTTGGAAGGATGAAAGGCTGAGTCAACCTTGGTGGGATTTGAACTCCCAAATTACAGGCAGCAAGTAGTCAGCAGAAGTGGCCTGCAGTACTGCATTCTAACCACTCCGCCACCAAGGCTCAAGGATTTGGAGCACTGAATAAATGCATTTTGGATCAATTTTTCAATTTCTTTCTTTCACACAAAGTAAGACTTGCTTTATAAAAACCTAGATCTGCATTTATAAAAACCTAGATCTGCATTTACCTATAAAGAAGGTTTTACCCAACATGCCAAACTCTAACACGTAAACAAACCGTGAAAGTTCACTTTAAAAAAAGAAAAAAAGAAATGCCCCAAAGTGACCTGCTTTGGATGTTCCCTTTCTTCAGGGTTTCCTTTTTAACAG